CTACCTTCTACCTAATGTGCTACTAAGTCTTATCTCCAATAACAATACAACACTTGATGCAAACCAGTGAACAAGCTATCTTCTGCTTAATATCTGCTCTTTCCTTATTTTTTACTCTGTTCTGTCAAAGAAAAAAATTCCTTCTCCTGATTTGAATCCAAACTTGCCCACTCCTTTTAAGGTTCAGCATAAATGCTACCTCATCTATGAAGCCCCTTGCTTGAATGATGCATAAAAACAAAGAGAGAAATTGCAGTCCTCAAGTATGAGTTCTATGCGGAGAGACACTTTGGATAACCTCCACTGGACACAGAACCTCAAAGCTAGCAGATGTAGTGTTGCAACCTAGGTAGCTCTACATAGCAATAAATTGGGATTTTTCTGAAGCTAGTCAGAGAGTTTTGTGTCTTTCCCCAATCTCCCTTACCAGGCCAGTGAACATTTCAACTTCTTTGAGACTCAGCTGCTAATATATTCTTTTGAGATTTACTGGTTGCTGAAAATATAAATGATTAGAAATATCTGAAAGTGCATGCCCTCATTCCCACAGTGCCCCATAGCCAACAACTTAATGATACAGTATTTAAAAGCAACAATGAAAAAAAAACCCTGTTGTCACATGGTAGGGCAACTGTTGTTATCACTCATGGTTCAGTGCTCCCTAGGGTTTCAAACTGAAGCTACATTTCAGTAGAACCCACATCTTTATCCAGCTTATCCCCATGCCTGTCCTGCCTCTCCTTCTCCTTACAGTTTTCTTCTGAGGTCATTCCTCAGTAAATCACTCACATATGAATTCCAGTTTAAGGTCCTATTTTAGAGAAACTGTCTTCATTTAAAAAAAAAAAAAAAACTTTCACTAATCTGTTTAGTTCACAAACCTACATAGAATCAGTTTGTCTATTTATACAAACTGTCCTTCTAGAATTTTGACCCATATTCATTGAATCCAAGCATCAAGTTTTGGAAAACTGGCACCTTACTAATATTGTGTCTTCCAATCCATGAACATGGTATATCTCACTCCATTTATATTTTTCTCTCAGCTGTTCTATAACTTTTAGTGAAGACGTGTTGCATAATTTTCCATAAAACTATTCCTAAATACAATGATTTTTAACATGTTTTATGAAATACATTATTTTAATCTTTCCTTGTTGGAGTATACAAAAATAAAATTTCTTTTATATATTATGAAGGTTATTATGTGATCTTACTAAATGAGTTATAGTACATGTTTTATAGATTTCTTAGAATGTTCTGCATGAAGACATCTACAAATGAAGGCAGTTTCACTTATTCCTGTTTCAACTATATACTTTTTAAAATTTTTGTTGCTTTTTATAAATAGTTGAGACCTCCAGTACAATGCTGAATAAAAGTAGTAATAGTGAACCTTATTTCTTTTCCCACGTGTAGTTGAGAGTCATTTAATCTTTTACCATTAAGAATGATGTTAGCTGAAAGTTTTTCATAGATGCTCATTATCAGTATTATTGTTGGTATTGATATTTCTCTCTTCTCGTTTCCTGCTTTCTCTTGGGTTGTTTGAATTATAAAAATCTCACTTAAAATCTTTCCATTGGCATTTTGGCATACCTCTTGCATTATGCTGCTTAGGGGTTATTCTCAGGATAAGAAAATATGTTGCCAAATTCAGTTGTCAAATATATGTAAACCACATTCAGTTTACTTAGGACCTGAGTCTCCTGCATTGAAGGCAGATTCTTTACCTTCTGAGCCACCAGGGATGCCCCAATAATGTAGTAATTCATGCAAAATATGGAGACCCTGCAATCCTATATGCCGATTTTCCTCCTCCCACCTTTATGCTACACTTGTCAGACATATGTCTTATGTCTCTAATCATAAAGACCCCACTTGACAATATTATTTGTTTTGCTTTGGTAAGTTTTATGTATTTTAAAGGAATTAAGAGGAATACAATATTTTTTATATTAAACCAGTGTTTCTCATTTTAGATTCTCTTCATTCATTTTTGAAAATCAGATACTTCCATTCTCTCCTTGAGGTCTTGCTCCTTCTGCTTGTATTACAAAGGTCACTGCTATGGCAACAGTGGCTTGATTTCCTATGGATGTGTGCAAAGCTCAGAGATTCTCTTTTAGAAATGACCATCTAAGGAACAGGAGAAGAATGTCTATGTACTGAATCCTAGCCTCCACTGGTTGGAGTTGCCCCAGGGGCCATATCTTCTTCCATATCTGGGATGTACTTGCTTTTGGACTGAGCAGACTGCTAATGCCTTCCTAGAAGGTCTTGGGTTTCAGAGAAGGAATGAGCAAGCATAAAAGTGAAGCTGTTAGTCAGTAGCACTAAAAGTGGGAAACTATCAATATGAGTCAGAATCATCCAGTACAAGTTGCTTGAGTTCATCAGTTTCAGTTCTCTCATCTGATAAATGAGGATAATAAAAGTACCTACATCATAAAATTCTCATGAGAATTAAATATGTGAAAATTGTTAAGCACCGTTCTTAGCAAAAGTGAGCCCTGAATGATTGATTGTTCTTACCATTTCATTGATGGCAAATCCCAGTTCCTCAAAAACGAAGCCTCAGAGGCTGATACAGGAGATAACAGATTTAGGATTAGCAAGAGAATTAATTTGGGATTGAATATTAGGGTTGAAAATACCTGTATTCTACTACTATCTATCTACTCAAAATGTACTACTCAGAAAGGGAATGCTTTAAGATTACTGACAGTGAGAGACTATTTCTTATCTGGAAGTCATCACTTTACTTTGTAGTTCTCTAGAGGACTTTTAAAGATTTTACTTTTTTACTTCTGATATGATAATTAATATACATGTTCAATTTTTTCTGTTATTTAAAATTCAACTGTCCATCATATTCTATCACATATTATCCCAAAGTAGTTAATAGCATGTCTTATAAATATCAATATAGATTACTTATCAAAAAACATATGTTGGATGGATAAATCTAAAATTATCTTTTTATACCCTGAAATTTAGTACTATTTCTTAACTGGAAATACCAAAGAAAATCTGGAACCAGTATTTAATCTCCAAGATGATTTATTGTATTGTACTTTTTAGTAAATTATTAAATGAAGGTTATAGAAGTATGTATAAACATCTCAATAGAAGGAAAAGAATAAATTGACCACTTGAGAATTGAAAGACTCTTGAAATATTATTTGCTTTGGTATGTGAATTGAACTGTTCAGTATTCATTATGGAACATAATGACATTTCAATGTTGCTTTTGAATTCACATTTGAATCTCTAAATTCTTCAGAGATTTATCCCCAAAGGCAAACAAAAATTAAAGATAGCTTTATAATCACAATAACCATGATTTGTTACAGAAAGATGAATTCTTATTCCAGGAGGTAAGATTTTAGCTTTTGTTAATGAATCTGGTGTACATTTTCATTTACCATTTGAGAACGTCTACTCCCTAACGTCGTCTCTGAATTCACAAGTTAGAGTTGGGGAACAGGGCAGTTTTAATCAAGCAACTAGTAGGTAATGTTAACTGCGGAGCTGTTTCCGCCGTCAATTTCATGTGTAGTCAATTTCAAGCATAGTCCATAAAAAGGATCCTTTGTTCACTGATCTATAAGAAGAAAACTCATATGATCTTTCAACACTCTTCAAACTCAGCACTCCAACATAGTGCTAATAAATCTACTACTAGAAATGTTTGGGCATTTGCTGGTGTTTAAAGATTTCAATTGAAGATTTTAAAATTGAAAGATATTATATATATTTTTATAAAAAGAATTATTTTGTTTGTGGATCTGTTGCTTTAGCTTCAAGAGAATAACACATCACATAAAGCTCAGGATTTAAGTCACAAGTTTCAGAAATAAGGACCACTAACTAGGTGATCATTCTTAAGATATTGAACCACACTTTATTCATTTATAGATTATGTTGAAAATATTTCATTCTATAAAAGTCCAATTAGAAAACATTGTTAAAGTAGGAAGTAATCTGGTTTGTTTGAATAAATGTATTTTAATTATGTACTTATATCAATCATGCTTTTTGCATAATGATTACATCAATATTTCAAACTACCTAATAATCTTTTTAATTTAAAAAATCCACAATCCTAATTTGAAATTGGTTTCTGTTATACTATCAAGAATATTTTTATTTCTCCTTTAAAAAAATTTTAAGGGATAAATATTGTGAAATACATAACTAACTAGAAATACATAACTAACTATGTATAAAAGAGATATACATAACTGCCAGAAGGCTTAAAGGATAATCTGTTATGTACTTATTGCCAGGTGTATTGGACTTTGTAGTCAGGATTATTTATTGCATGGTTACTATAGGAAATGGGTAGTCAGATTTTTTTGGACTTCATATTTTGATTCTATCAATTGCTATATGATCTTGTACAACTTATATAACCTCCTCAGATTCAGTTTACTCATCTATAAAATAATAAAAATTAATATTATTTTATGAAAAATAAACTATAAATACACATACTACATATATACTAAATACCAGACTAAATTATAAGCACAGATTATATATACATACACAGAGTAAATTATAAGCATATAAATATAAAATGCTTAAACTGATGCTTATAATTTAGTAAGTGTATAATAAAATTTAGCTATTAATCAGATCTCTATTACAAAACCCTCCACATTTCTAATTTTTTAATTATACTTATTGATTTTTTTATCTCATTTGTGATATTTGTTCTATGAGTTTAAATCTACTTTAAGTGCATTTTGGACACAATATGATACAAAAGGTAAAAGCCATTATTTCAAGAAAGTTTTCTGGTAATTCTGCTGAAAATAATTTTAAAAATACAGATAGTCTCACAATTGCATGTAACTATGCACTGATTCTTGAATATCTTTATTTATAATCACACCCTATATCTGTACTAAAGAAAATGAAATGATCAAATTTACAACTTCTATAATAAATTGTTTCATCTAGGTTCATTTTGGTAGCAGCTACCTTATCTCATGGATTCCCTGGGGCATGGGAACTACACTACAATGACAGGGTTCATTTTACTGGGCTTAACAAATGATCCAGTCCTTCGAATCATCCTCTTCATGATCATCCTCTGTATCTACCTGGTGACCATATGTGGGAATCTCAGCACAATCATTCTTATCAGAATCTCGTCTCAGCTCCATCATCCTATGTATTTTTTCCTGAGCCACTTGGCCATTGCTGATGTGGGCTATTCATCTTCTGTTACACCCAATATGCTTGTAAACTTCCTGGCAGAGGAAAATACTATCTCCTACCCTGGCTGTGCCATCCAGCTTGGTTCAGCTGTTTTCTTCGGGTCAACTGAATGCATTCTTCTGGCTGCCATGGCATATGATCGCTTCATAGCAATCTGCAACCCACTGCTTTATTCCACCAAAATGTCCACACAAGTCTGTGTCCAGTTACTCATAGTGGCTTACATTGGTGGTTTTGTCAATGCCTCCTCCTTTACTATTTCCTTCTATTTTTTACACTTCTGTGGACCAAATCAAGTCAATCATTTTTTCTGTGATTTTGCTCCTTTGGTTGAACTCTCCTGTTCTGACATCAGTATCCCTGCAGTTGTCCCCTCATTTACGGCTGGCTCCATCATTGTGGTTACAGTGACTGTCATAGCTGTATCCTACATCTATATCCTCATCACCATCCTCAGGATGCACTCCACTGAGGGGCGCCACAAGGCCTTCTCGACCTGCACGTCCCACCTCACAGCAGTCACTCTGTTCTATGGGACCATCACATTCATTTATGTGATGCCCAAGTCCAGCTACTCAACTGACCAGAACAAGGTTGTGTCTGTGTTCTACATGGTAGTGATCCCCATGTTGAACCCCCTCATCTACAGCCTCAGGAACAATGAGATTAAGTGGGCTCTAAAGAGAGCTTGCCAGAAAAATACTTTCTTAGTGAAGTCTGTTATTTCATAGGGTTTGATACAATAATATGCCATATATATAATAATAAGAGGAAATTAAATGTTTGTGGTTTAAATATACCCATCACATATCATTATCCTGGTTGCAATCTTTTAGTAAAGGTAAGAAGATTTTCAGATACCTAATTGTAAGTCAGAGACCCATAGTAAGTTTCCTTTAATAAAATCAAACTTACAATTAAGAAAAAAATTGGTTCACATAAAAATATTTCATCTCCTGAACATCATTTTAAAATGTTATTTGTATATTTTTCCCAAAATTGTACTCTACCATAGGATTATTGTATCTCCAAACATTTAAGCCTGTGTTCATTTCCAACTGCAGTCTATTCTGTAATAAAGGAGATAACTATACTTTTGCTTGTGTACATTCTGAGAGGAAATGACAAAGTGGAATCTGAAAGTTTCTAGAGATGTTCTTCAAGGAAGCAGAACAGAACATATACCTGTTCTCTCAGGTATATGCTCAGTATGGACTTTAAGGATCCATAAATTCTGGTCTTTGTTCCTAGTCTCTGGCTCCAGTCACCACACAGACAGTCCCCAGGGAAGAACAGAAGTCCCTGACTGATTTCTGTCAGGTTCAACGGTTATTTCTCTCTAGGAATTAGTAGGGTCCTGCTTGGTGTGCTGTGGTCCATGGGGTTGCAAAGAGTTGGACACAAATTGGTGACTGAACAACAAAAAAACTCCGCAGGGACTGAGTGGAACAACCTCTTGGAGTGACTTGTTCATGGTCAGACTTACATCCTTCTCAGGAAGCTGGAAGGAACTGGATTGTTCCCCCTGAATTTGTGACTGTTTCTGGGAGATGCTCAATCAACCTCTATGTGCTGATGACAACTGCATTTGTTGACCTTTCCTGTCCCCTCTTTAATGTTTCAGGCACAAATTCTATATTTTTGCTCACAGAGTCATGGGGCATTAATTATCTCCTTCATTCACTTATTCTTTCATACATTCAAAAAGCGTACATGTCTCTTGTATTCCAGAGACAGTCACAGACCATTGGAAATATAAGTTACAAGCACCTATTTTCTTTCATAGCATTTATTTAATAGCATAAGCATAACAATAAAACCAACAAGTTAGTGATTCAGACTATTTGAAGGGGGTAGTGGTATGGAGAAAGAAAAAGCAGACAGAGTAATGGAGCTTAACCTGCCAAGGCAGGAAGTGTCAGTGTTGACCTCATTGGGAAGATAACATCTGAGGTGAAGATACTCACTGCCTATTGTATATGATGTTAACCTGTGTACATTTGTGCAAGTCTAATATTTCACTCATGTTTACCTTTAGGGTTATGACAGATTTGGTAATTTGAATCAACCCTATGGTAAGCACAACAAAAACAAATGGTAGGATGCTTAAGATATCTTAAATATCACAGAAGAGATTACAGATAAGGAATTGCTTTACCAGGGACTATGAGAATCCAGAGAAGTACACCTAACACTCACATATGTTTCAGCAATGAGAGAATTTGACAGGCAAGAAGGAAGTGTTACCATCCTGGATTTGCATTCAGTGATGTTTGGGGATGGGTGGAACAAATATCAAAGCCTAGGGCACAACTAGATAAGAATTATGGGTATAAGTTTAACATAAATCATCAAGATAAGCAGAAACCCAGTGACCAAGTCTTACACTTATGTGCAGTCCTGGAGATCTAGAGAGTCTCAGGCCTTCAACTTGGGTATAAGGTGTTGTCAAGCACAGATGGTACTTCTGAGTGAACCGAACAATCAAATGAACAACTCAAGCCTCAATTATTCCTACTAAATATTAAACAGGATAACCAACACACACTGAAAAATTGTGACTAGTACCAAGGAAACAAGGTATCACACATATCACAGGAGTCAGTGGAAACAGCAGACAACATAAATAGAATCATTAGGATATATGGGCATCAGTCTTGGGAGGTTGAACTTTTCTAAGAATATGTCCGTTTCCAATAGGTTGTCCATTTTATTAGCATATAGTTGCTCATAATATTCTCTTATGATCTTTTGTATTTCTTGTTGTCTGTTGTAACCTCTCCTTTTTCATTTCTAATTTTGTTGATTTGATTTTCCTCCCTTTTTGTTTTCCTTGCTGAAATAGAAATTATGAACAACCTAATTACAAACACTGAAATCCAGAGTGATCAAAAATCTCCCAAAAAACAAAAGCCCAGGGCCAGATGGCTTCACAGGGGAATTCTAGCAAACATTTAGAGACGAGCTAATGCCTATTTTTCTGAAACTCTCTCAAAAAACTGCAGAGGAAGGAATACTCACAAACTCATTCTACAAGGCCAGAATCACCCTGATACCAAAACCAGGCAAAGACAACATGAAAATAGAAAATTACAGGTCAATATCACTGATTAACATAGATGCAGAAAGCCTCAACAAAACTCTAGCAAACAGAATTCAACAACACATTAGAAAGCTCATACACCATGATCAAGTTGGGTTTATTCCAGGGATGCAAGGATTCTTCAATATACACAAATCAATCAACATGATATACCATATTAACAAACTGAAAGATAAAAACCATATGATCATCTCAATAGATGCAGGAAAAGGCTTTGACAAAATTCAGCACCCATTTATGATAAAAACGTTTCAAAAAATGAGTTTAGAAGGAACTTACCGCAACATAGTAAAGGCCATATATGAAAAACCAACCGCAAAATTATTCTCCGTGATGAAAAGCTAAAAACACTCCTTCTAAGATCAGGAACAAGACAAGGGTGTCCACTCTCACTGCTATTATTCAACAGTTTTGGAAGTCCTAGTTATGGCAATTAGAGAAGAAAAAGAAATAAAAGAAATTCAGATCAGAAAAGAAGAAGTAAAACTCTTACTGTATGCAGATGGCATGATACCATACATAGAAAACCCAAAAGAAACTGTCAGAAAATTACTAGAGCTAATCAGTGAATTCAGCAAAGTCACAGGATGCAAGGTCAATACACAGAAATCACTTGCATTCCTATATACTAACAATGAAAAATCAGAAAGAGAAATTAGGGAATCAATCTCATTTACCATTGTAACAAAAAGATAAAATATCTAGGAATAAACATATCTAAGGAGACAAAAGACCTGTATATGGAAAATTATGACACTGATGAGAGAAATCAAAGATAACATAAACAGATGAGAGATATTTCATGTTCCTGGGTAAGAAGAATCAATATTGTGGAAATGACTATACTACCAAATGCAATCTACAGATTCAGTGCAATCCCTATCAAATTATCAATGACATTTTTCACAGAACTAGAACAAAAATTTTCACAATTCATATGTGAACACAAAAGACCCTGAAGAGCCAAAGCAGTCTTGAGAAAGAAGAATGGAGCTGGAGGAATCAACCTTCCTGACTTCAGACTATACCACAAAGCTACAGTCATCAAGACAGTATAGTACTGGCACAAAAACAGAAATATAGACCAATGGAACAAAAGAGAGAGCCCAGAGATAAACCCAAGCACCTATAGGTAACTTACTTTTGACAAAGGAGGCAAAAATATACAATGGAGCCAAGATAGCTTCTTCTATAAGTGGGGCTGGGAAAATTGGACAGCTACATGCAAAAGAATGAAATTAGAACACTTCTTAATGCCATACACAAAGATAAACTCAAAATTGATTAAAGACCTAAATGTAAGACCAGAAACTATAAAACTCTTAGAGCAAAACATAGGCAGAACATTTGATGACATAAATCAAAGCAAGATCTTCTATGACCCACCTCCTGGAGAAATGGAAACAAAAACAAACAAGTGGCACCTAATTAAACTTAAAAGCATTTGCACAGCAAAGGAAACTACAAACAAGGTGAAAAGACAACCCACAGAATGAGAGAAAATAATGGCAAAGGAAACAACTGCCAAAGAATTAATTTCCAAAATATACAACCAGCTCACACAACTCAATACCAGAAAAACAAACAACTCAATCAAAAAGTGGGAAAAAGATCTAAGAAGACATTTCTCCAAAGAAGACATACAGATGGCTAACAAGCACATGAAAAGATGCTCAACATCACTCACTATTAGAGAAATGTAAATCAAAACTACAATGAGATATCACCTCACACTGGTCAGAAGAGCCATTATCAAAAAATCTACCAAAAAAAAAAAGTTAGAGGATGTGGAAAAAAGGGAACCCTCCTATATTGTTGGTGGGAATGTAAATTGATAAAACCAGTATGAAGAAAAGTATAGGGGGGGTCCTTAAAAAACTATAAACAGAACTATCATATGGTCCAGCAATCCCACTCCTGGGAATATACCTAGAGAAAACCATAATTAGAGAAGATACATGCATCCCCAATATTCACTGTAGCACC